AATTGGCCAGAACACGCCCCCTGACTGCGTCACGTCCTGTCAGACGTACATTGCAGTCAGGTGTGCAGTGACAACGAGCTAAACACCTTGCCAACAGCTTTCTCCTCTGTAACGTTGCAGCCTGCACATGTTGCGTTCACTGTCTTCTCCTTTGCTCATATTTCTCCCAGAAGGCTCAGAAACATCAAACGTCAGTCAGCCAGTAATTAAGTTACCGGCCATATTGTTTTGTGTGTGTGTTCTGTTTGTTAAACACGCCGGGTTCACGGTGACAGCAACGAGAATAAATGGAGGATTCTTTCTTTCTCGTTTGTTTCTGTAATTGCAAGAACTTCAAAACCAAATCCCAAACAACAAATATGCAAAAGCAGCCATTTAAAATATGTTTGGGGGAGAAAACTGTTTAATTGTAATAAAACTGCTGTATTAAAGAAAAACTGTAGAGACTGAAGTTCAGCACCTCCAGTAAAAGTACAGTCTCTGTCCTTGGTGCTGAAACGAATGGAATTAATTCACGGCGCTGTTTAGAAATCGGAGGTTGAAAAGAGAAACACTGAAATAGTTTGGGTTTATTCAAGCAAATTCTAAACCAGTTGGGATTTAATAAACTGTAATAAAATACATTTTCAAATTAAAACTGAGTGACAGTACGAACGCACTAAAATCATTCTCATATTCAGATCGAGGAACCTCACAGCACCCAGCTGTCTGCAGCCCAACAGCTCACATACAATCACAGGTTTCCGAGTATTTTAAAAAACTATTTCTAAAATGAATCCCACTGAGAATGATGATCTAAATCTGCCAATAGACTTCAAGAAGCAAAGGCAGTTGTGATTTGGTTTTCTTTTTGCTATAACTGGCACATTAACCAGGGAAATAAACACTATTTAACTCTAACATTATATTTAGGCAAAATATTAGATTTACATCAGCCCAATTTTACACCTGATTATATAAGTTATTATGGGGGTATATTTGTGTTTATAGCAAAATTGAGTGTGCTCAAGTTCATTTAAGTTAAATATCGTAATACAGATTAATCGCTTTCAAATTAATATAGCGCCAGTGTTGGATGTTTGATTTTATATTGCATGAGTAATTAGGGTTAGGGTTAGAATACTAGTCCTGGCAATTCAATTTACAGTAGGTTAGGCCTACACCTGTTGCAGAAAGAAAGAAAGAAATCTTGTTAAAAGTAACATAATTCTGTTGTACTTATTTTACTTTATCAGTTTTATAATTTAAACCATTATAATAGCAACACACACATTTCTATATTAAAATATTACCATTATTAATAATACAAAATATCAGATATTTAAATATGATTGTTGGACGTATCTATTAATTTTGGTTTTGGGAAAAAAAGGAATCTCTTATTCTTGAAAATGTAAAGTGAGTGTCTCATCTCTCTCTCTCTCTCTCTCTCTCTCTCTCTCTCTCTTCAGAACAGG